CGCCGCCCGCTCCTATGGCTAGGCCGGTGGCGATAATAAGATCGACGGGTGAGCTGACGGCAACAACCGCCAGCTCACCACCAACGTCCTCCACCGGATCGCCCACCGATCCAGCTGAATTAGGTACTACTAATCAGGAACAAATGACCGCTGGTTTGGTTGGTTCCGCTTGCCAGAATTCTGTTGAACCTACCGGACGGAAGAGTCCCGCCAGAATTCTCGTTACGCCACACACCAGCAGAGAATACACATTCGCTCACTTTCACTCGCAGCCCGGACAGGTTAGATCACCGGTCGATCGATCGATCGATCTCTTACTTGACTCAACTAATATCTTCGGTCTTCCGACAGCAAATCTTCACGTATCCGACCATCAGTTCGATGTCTGGGGTAATTTCGCCGACAAACTTGTCCCTATTCTCATCCCCTGTCTCGGTAACAAGACCCGTTGCCACTCAGAGGCCAGTCTCCAATGTTCCGCCGCGCTGGAATACAACGCCGTTTATTAATCTGGAGGACGACTACAACATGATCGCGCCTATTATCGCAGGAACTACCAGCGGCGAGCCATCGGCTACCATGGAGGAAGGTGAAAGGGCTAAAAATTTCTCGCATATAACATTGTTGCGTAGCGGGATTGTTATCCTTGTAAAATAAACGTATCTTTACAGAACGGTACTATCATCCTGTGCATACGAGCGGGGTGGATAAAAATAGCAATGGTAACCTGATAGGCAACGAACTCGGAGTAAACACAGATCCCACGTCACATCATCATCAACAACATCAGCAACATCAGCAACAACAGCCGCAACAACAACCGCAACAAACGTCTTCGCAACAACAGCAACAAGTAATGCCAGATAAGTCTGGCGGACCTAAGTCTCCTCCGTGACAGTGGAGTCTGAGAACAGAAAATAACGAGAGACTCGCGCCGTATTTGTCGAGTTCGGCACTTAACGTTATACCTGAAGCGAATAATCGTCGGGAAGTTATGCCTCGTATACAATTACGTGATTTAAACTTGCGGAGAATAGAATATCTGAGAGTTCGATCTTAGTTTATTACGAAGCGAGAATAAGAATGCTTTCCAAGGAATATCGAGGAAAGAAAAAGTCTGTTTTATTCGTATTTATTGAAATGTATCGTTCTATAGTATGTACGAGGGGAAAAAGTTTCATACATTACAAGAACCTAACCAATTATATAGTCCTTCTAGAGCGTAATTTATCGCGATAGAGTCAGCGACGCTTGGAATAGATAACGTCGCCGTGCATGCCTTATCGTGCTCGATAACAGAAAATTTTCTACACATGATGCCGTAGTAAAACGGGACAATGTTCAAAATATAATATAATGTAACGTACACACATATATGTATGTATAGGGGGAGAGAGAGAGAGAGAGAGAGACGAAACGTCATAATTTCAGCAAAAATTAATAATCTTCCACACTTTATCCGAGGGGTGTTCTTAGGATGTCCTCTGGATGTCTTTAGGATACCCCTTGGAGGGGTCTTCTTTCACATATATACCAAGTTTCGTCAATATAATTAATATATGATGGCGCGTTTGTTGTCAATTACGTAAGTGGCATTTGTATTGCACAAATTCGCTAACTTTGTTCCTCTTTCTTCCCCCCCGCCAATTCTTCTCGCATCTTCCTTGCGCGCGTCTGTATACACTAAAAGCACGGGCATAGATTGAAATGTCATTGAAAACATTATTTCAATCGAACGGAAGGAAGAAAATTATTTTGTCATCATCAAAAGGGCGACAAAAGTTGTTTAATCATCAGTATTTTCGGTTATTTCTGTGATGAAAGTTCTGTTAAATTATATCAACATGGCGTGTCTTCCGCATTCAAAAGAGGTGTTTTGTTTCGTTTAATCGAAACTCGTGTGTCCTCGATATTTTCCTGGGTACCGCACTCGTATTCAGTTTCTAAATATGCACGGCATGTTAGCAAGATTAAGAACTACTTGTGCACAAGGTGCATTATAAACGCATTGGGTAAAAAGAATCTGATAATAAATATCGTTTTGATATATCTGTATTACAAACAATTTTTCGCTTAGTGTAGATGCCTAGTTTTGCATTTTATCAGGCGAGACACGTTTTATATTAAACGTATATAGTATACGTTTGATTTAAATTAGGAATTATAATAAGATAACAAAATAGGTGTACATAGTGCCGAGAGTTAATTATTTGCACGACGAGGACCCAAGTCGACTTCCCTCGTTTAGACTATTAATCGGAAACAGAAATACTGTTTCCGAGGATCGAAATCGCAATTGTAGCAGTGGTATAATATTCTTCCAGTGTTTGTATTATAATAAAAGATTCGTTATTTTCGTAGTAAAATTTTCGCGATACACGAATACGTTCTTTTTTTTTCCCGATAAGTACGAAATCATAATATTTTGTATAAATAGTATTTACATCATGTAATCGCGACAGAAATAACTTGAAGATGGATAGAAATGTTTGTATACTAAGCTTCCGTTATATAAAACTAGGAATAACGCGTCAACGCAGTTGCTCCTGAGAGCGCGGACTACTCCTTTCTCCCACTTTATCCAATCAAACCCCTTTCGGAAGATCATCCCATTCTTCTCGATTCAATACAACAACTTGCACTATTCCATGGTTTTTCGAAACATCGATCGCACGAACGCATCAATCTCATAGATTGGTTTCGATCTTTTTATGCTGAAATTTTTAATATGCCGTGCTCTTGTCGACGATTCTGCATATATCGACGCGTTTCGACATTTCTCTGCGAGAAGCTACTTTTATAATTATTCTATAGTTGGCGAGCGACCGAGAATTAATACAGATATTTGCAGAATTATATATCAGTGCATCACATAGTGACAAGTAAGTATCAAAGTGAAGTTGGACAGGAACGAAATTTGTTATTCGGAATGTATCGCAGAAATGTGTTGGCACGAATGATTCGCGACATTTCTAACTAACATATGGCCAATAATCTAACGTCGAGGAATTATATTGCTTCTTTCTTCTGTAACGATATCAATAAGCAGGAAACTTTTTGGAAAGAGACAAGATGAACGCGTCGATAATGTGGGGCAAATTATTCAAACAGAGAATCATCGCAGATCAGCGAAATGGGACATAGATGATAATAAATTGAAGTATATTAAGTAATCGGCTAGCATAAAATAGGATGCGAAACAATTTGTGACAACTAGTCATCAAAGGCTGCTAGTTAGAGACAAGATGGATTTGTCGGATAATAAGCGCTTAACTACTTATAAATATTTTATGATATTGCATCGAAGGTAACACAACGTAGAGAATGAATGAGTAAGCGACGAATGTGATTATCGTTAACAAACATAATTTCTTCCAAAGTCTCTTTCATCGACAATGTAGATTCCAGGAAACTTGGTTTGATGTGCCAGGCCAAATTTGTCATTATTTATAATGTATAAACAAAATACTTGGTTGTATGCTACATTAACTACCTTCTTTTAATCAGACGATGCTGAAAGACGCTTGGACTCCTTCATGTTTTCCTTTATTTTTCCTTTTCTCTCTCGTATCGAATAATCGAAAGAACATAGATAATAAGAATACCCGACGAGTGTGCGAACGATACGTTACCACTTGTTCAACACACACATGTTGCACTATTCCATTGTGTACGTTTTTCAAAACATCAATCACAAGCCCAACCTCATAGATTGGTTTTGATCTCAACAGCGTCCCGATATTCACTGCCAGTACTGATTACCTGTAGTATAAATAATATAAAATTGTAGATCATTGGTATAATGGCAGTGAATACCGCAACTCTTGTTTCCTTCCATTAAAATTAAAAAAATGAAGCTCCATTCAAAAAAACGAAGCTTATGGGAAAAGAGAATTGGGTTTTGACAATTATTTCAGAAATGTATTCGAACGAGTGGTATTAAAATGTTAATGTTGATAAGTTGACTCATACCATAGCATTATTTTGACGCTTATCAGAACAAATTTTATACACAACACTATGTTTCGTTATCGATATATATGTATAATAAGCCGTAGTATACCGCAAGCCTGACACGTCAAAGTTGAATACTCGCGAATAAATTAGACACTATTTTATAGTTGGGACACAAATAATTTGTCTCTTACGTTATCTATAATTGCAACTTTCTGAGACACAGGTTATTTGATCAAGTATTCAACCTCGCTTCTCGCTCTCTTAATTTGTTGATAATTTTGATTATTTACTTATTTATCAGGATCAATTGATAATTATACAGGTGGATTAAAGTATAGTGAGATATCCTTTTGAGAATTACAGCTAGATGTCTGTTATTATGCGTTTGTCTTTATTTCCTTAAAGAAAGAGATATATTTGAAAATAATGCAAGTACGCGAGTGTGTTTCAAAAGCAGACATGTTAAAACAAAGCCAGCGATTGAGAATTAACGTGAAGGTGTCATGTCAATATTATATTAGTACAAGTAAAACGTCCATTTATTAGAATTATTCAAACAAAATCATTCGATAGATATCAAATTGGATAGCTCCTCATTTATCGGAATAATGAACACTCACGGCTAATTACAAAAACACACGTTTGTTTATCAATTTTTCTGTATAGTTTTTGGAAAAATTGATATAATTTTTTTTAAGATACATAAATTCTTAATTCATATATTATTACAAAAATATACTCTCCTTCTCCCTCCTTTTTCTTTTCCTCCTCTCTCTCTCTCTCTCTCTCTCTCTCTTTATCATTTATCTTTGTGTATACAACTAATGTTGCTATTACTCTTTTCAATTTATGTATACATCATTCCCTAATATTCCTTCCCTATAATATATATGTACGTGTCTATGTAAAAATATGAATGACATCAGATGTGAAAAGGTCTATTGTTACTTTGAATATATTCTCTACTGATTCTCAACATCACACTCAAATTTTAAAGCAATGACGTATTAATTTTTATCAATCACGGGTAATATTTAAAGATA